AGAAAGCAAAGCCAAACAGTAGGTGGATATCCCGGTGTGCTCTCAATTAATGCATTAGGATGAACTTACAGAAACCACGACGATTGCTTTTACCTACGGTTGCTATTGACTAATGTACGCGGTACAATTTCATTTGAGTCATTGGGTATTGTGAATGGTACAATTGCTGGAACCTGATAATCACTGGAATAAAACGATGGAAAATGCGATAGATGTTTATGACTTAAACTGGAAGATTCAAAGAAATTTGTAAATTCAACTTTCTTTTCATTTCAACATAGGACAACGCCTGCGGGGTCAGCTATTATATTATAGTAAATGTATGTTTTTATATATAAAATTGCTTCGAAACACTAACCCTTGTTTGAATCAACTTGGGTTGGATTTTATTTTTTGGGGGACGTTTTTCAGCCARCATTAAATTCACATCCCATGCCTAGCTGGCCTAGAAACTGTAGCTTAAGTGCCAACAATGAGTAAATGGGGCAGTGGCAAAATACTGTCAAAAATTTACCATAACCATAGACAACACTGGGTTAAACATTCGATTTTGACCCTACGTTAAGAAATTATTTTTGTAGTTTATTAGAGAAGTTATTTTTGTATAAATGAAGGTATGATGATTAATTCGATTGCTTTTATTTCTTTTGTATGAATCTCTTTACATTGCGCAGTTCAATGTTAAAATCATTTCTACATCATTTTTGCAAGTGCGTGTATGGTTGAACTTTTTACATGAACATTTCATTTATTTTTTTGTTTAGTTCGACAAAAAATTATCTGAAATGTATGCTCCTATTATGGKTGAAAACTCCATCCAAATGCTGGAAGTCAAAAGCTTGTAATTCAGAATAATTAAAATCTGGTTTCAGTTAGTGCTTCTTACACTGTAAGATAATAATTGTATTATTATTTTTCATTTAATAGATCTGTTTTAGCATTACGAATTACAAATAATTTCATTTGAAGTTGCATTGGTGTAGGTAGCCAAGTTACAATAGTGCGGATTTGTCAGAATATTTCAAATTAAAGCAATACAATTAAGTTCCTTTATGCAAAAGAGTAAATACGAAAAATACTTCGTTTTTACTCGAATTCATTAGGACTTCTAATCTCTATAATAACGACGGACTTTTTTCAAAATTTGGTTTAGAAGCGATAGAAGTTTTATCGACTTTTWAAGCTGGAAACATTTCCCATAATTACCTTAATTTTAGTAAACAATTCAGTAAGCAGCCTCTAGTTACTAATTGAAACATTTTCAAGTAAAGTCTGGATTTGTGACAAGTTACTATTCACAATACAGTTTCTAGCCTTTAGTCACAAAGTATTGTATCAAATTTTCCTGATAGAAAGCAGGTCCCAAAACTAGCAAGTTTAACTAACATTTTGAATATACTGACACTTCACTTATAGAGATCATCATAGATATTAATGGATTGTCGGATTTTATATTTATATATATACAAATTGTACCAACGTTCATAGAATACAAGGGTACGACAAACTTGACGTCATTGAACTAACATGAAAATACTTCCAACGTGACGAATGTGAAAAACAAAAATTATTTTTAAAATCATATGTAAAAAAATTTTGACACTGTGTTATTGCTAATTTTTCGGATAAAATTTTTTGATATTATATGTATTAAAGTTTGCCATTTATATTTTTCAATATTTGTTTACATTGGAATATCTCCTCCATCATTTTTATATTAATGCAACTAGTTCCTACAGAGTATCATAGTATAGTTTTGTTCACCTAACAGATGTACGTATCACCTAAAACTAATCGAGGTAGATATAGGGTTATATATATATAAATGACCAGGATGACGGGAAAATTTGAAATCCGGTTGATTGTCTGCATATCTGTCTGYCCGTGCAAGCTGTAACTTTAGTAAAAATTGAGATATCTCGATGAAACTTGGTATGTGGGGTCCTTACTATAAAAAAAATCGATTTCGTAGATGGGCATAATCGGATCACTGCCACGCCCACAAATCGATATTAACCGAAAATACATAAAGTGTATAACTGAGCACTAAATTAAGAAATGAAACTGTAATTAAGAGTATCACACTAGTAAGGGGCATCTGTGGGTAAATTTTGAAAAAAGTGGACCACTTGAGCTACAATAACCAAATTTGCTGAATACGAATCTTATACGAACTTCTACCGACAGTGGATCAAATCGGAGTATAAYCCCGCTCAGTCCCCATATAACGGTACAGTTAACAACTACTAAAAGCACGACAAAGCAGTAACTAAATCCGCCAGAGACATTGCACTTGATTCGTTCAGTTTCCAGTACATAAATCAAGAAGCAATAAATAAAACGGGATACAATTTTGCACGATAATCCTTCTCTTATAATGGTATATTTGTATGTCAAAAATGGGCTGAACCGGACCAGTACACTCAATATAAAGATTTTCAAACTTCCGGGTGACTTTATACCACATATGTCATCCATATGTAAGTTATCAAAATGAAAATAAGAGAGCGAACTTTATTCAGAACAGTGTTAAAATAGATAMATTTTTAGCGAAAACTTGACCTATATAACTAATATCAGGATATTCGATCCGGCTGACTTTACTCTATATAATTGGTTTTACACCTTAAAGTATTTCCCTGGAATTGATTGTCGCAAGTTGTAAGAGTATAAAATGTTCGGTTGCACCCGAACTTAGCTCTTCCTTACTTCTTCGAGTTGGTTTCTCCAACCCGCCTCGTCTACGTTTTTAAACCATGGGCATTTTGTTTTCTCTGAGCACCGAATGTCTTCTTCTAAATCATTCACTTTAAAGTGTTTATAACTAATTTTTTAAGTCGCAAAAGGTAGTAGAAAGCTTTTTAAAGCTTCATTTTTAGGTGAGCTAGGAAATATATATTTCAACCCGTATATTAATATGTACCATATGTATACGCAAATATGAAGCAAAATAAAAAAATTAGTTTTTATGCAGAATTCCACTAATCCATATGCACAMATATGTACATATGTATATAAAAGATGCGTTCCAAAGTAAAAAAAAAAAAAGTTAAAAAAAAACAGAACAAATGGGGTTTTCGGCAAAATCAATTTAATTTAATTTTTTTTCAATGTCGAACGAGTGTTTTAGCTCATTGGTCGGTAGGGCCGCCAGTATGCCGGTGCAATCCTTTTGAATGACCTCTACGTCTGCATAACGCTTTCCTTTCATGGGCTAATGCATTTTTCCGAAAAAGAAGAAGTCACACTGTATTTTATTTCAGATGAATACGGGGAGTGGTTTATAGTTAAAATGTGATTTTCSGTCAAATAAATATATATAATGATTTCCTTCGAATGTGGGATTCTGAGCAATTTTTGGTCGTCAGTAAATTTTTGTGGAACAAACCGTGCACATACCTAAGCCCAAATATTCGGTCAAAATGCGATAAATCGATGTTTTTGGAGATGTTCAATTCCATTTCCATGAATTTCAAAGATGATTTCGACTGATTTTTGATGAATTCACGCACAGTTTCGATTGAATTTCCGGTGATCACGGAGTTTGATTGGCTCACATGTGGATTATCATTTATTACCTCACGACCTTTTTGAAAACGTTGAAATCACTGGTGCACTCTGCTACGGGATAGGCAATCATCATTTCAGCTCATTTTCGCACCAATAACACAAACATAMTGACATTTAAAACGCAATAACTGCACTTCCAATCAATGAAATGTCATGAAACTGGACAATCGATAAAGATAGCACCAGTCGACATATACTTAGTTGGCGCTACCAGGGGGCACTAGATTCAAAAAGTCCTGTTTACCTTGGAATGCACCTTGTAATATATTCATATAAGAAAAAGCCTCTTATCTGACTTTCATTTGTCAAATTTGTGAAAAATTAATATTTTTTCGTCTCACAAAATATTTCACTGCATATTTCTTCCTCATTTCGATTTTTTAAAGATGATTTTTGAAAAATTTAAGTTTTTACGATTTTTAATGGCACTTGGATGTGTAAAAACATTTTAGAAATCGTTTTGATATAAATTTTTTATGAACAATTCACCTGTTTAAAATTTACCACTTTTTTAACGTATTTAGCTTGTTTAAAAATGTAGTAATAGTTACTATTAAACAAGTTTTTGTTTAAAATTTGTTTTTTTATAACATCTTTGATACTCGCTTACAATTTTTATAAATTGATTACAGAACACGGCCAATGCAATATAACACAATCATATTTAAGAGACTTTGGCTGACTATTTGAACAGATTTCGTCATAAGCATATGATTTCAAAGTTGTCGTAACCTGGTATTCTATGAACGTTGAATTTGTACGAATGCTTGTAATATAGATAAGCTATTTTGTAAATGGTAATACCACAAAAAAGTAAAGTACTTCGAGCACATAACTTGTCCGAGAACGGTGATTTACAACATCTGGCAATAGTGCTATTTTTTATAAAGACTTTGTTTAAAGGGATTTAAAATAATCAAAGAAATACTGGTAAACATGATAATGCGTTTTTATTTTAAAACTCTTAGCTTATGTAATTAAAACCAATTTTTTTGGTTATGGAGCATAGTTGACTTTTTTTGTGCTAAACCCAATAATTAACAATTCTTTTAAGTAGTATTTGAATTAAACGACTAAATAATTAGATTGTTCGATTAGAAATTACTTGTACAGTTAGGTAACACCAGTCGGTGATGAAAGAAATCAAATTGCGTTAAAGTATTATCAAATCACAAAWCAAACATGTACATGTATATGTATATATGTACATATGTATATTAGAATTTCGTGTAAATGCGAACAAAATGTATTTAAATTATGGTCGTAATTACGGTTAACCAAGCAAATGCATACATACGTACATATGTATGTACAAACCTTTGTACACTTTCGAATGTATGGTTTAAAACCAGTGAAAATGAACAAAAGTGAACATATGTAAGCGAGTTTTGCCTTCCTCAAATTTTATAGTATATTAGTAAAGAAATTACCAAATTGTTTGGCATTCAAACTGGTTAGCAAAATAAACACCATCAACAATGAATGCCGCAGCTGCGTAGTGAACCCGTAGGAATTTAGAGTAATCATTGTATTTCGCAAATGCATGTCATTAGTTATCACAGTGTCATTAACATCATCACAAATTGGATTGTCAATGGTTTGAACACTATTGTTGAAATTCGATCTTGGTTGTGGTATAATTTGCGGCACTTTTTCGTTTCAAAATATTTACTGGGTTGTCACCATAATAGAACAATATTTTAAGCCTGTGTCGTGCAAAACTTAAACACTTTTCCAAAAATAGGCAAAGTCCGTTATTGTTTTACACAATTCACTTCCGGACACTATTCCATAATGTAAGCACATACATATATGATGACACGTACATTATTTACACGAATCTCTTACAGATGCATAAGACAACTAAACTTGCATGTTAAAGCGATTGGACATTTATACCTTTGGCAAGCGACTACTCGATTGGTAAGTGAATCAAGCTTTCACCATTTGATTATGGTCCATCGTGTTAAATATTGATAGAGCGAATAAAATTCACTTCTGCTTTCATTGAAAACCGTAGGGCAGTATTGTCAATGGTTTGCATCATCGCATCAAGACAATTTTTCGACATTGCTATTTTTCGAGATATATACGAACACCAGAATGGTACCCAGTTAATAAAAATTAGACAATTGATTAATTATTGATAAAGACATGTAAATTAGCAAGAATAATGTTATTAATTTTAAAATATTTATTTCCGTCGATTTTAGTATACCATCTCACCATCACCGCATCTTGTAGACACCTGGTCTTCCCGTAGGGTACTGTGTCGAATACTTTCAGAGATGGAGTGTTTTCGTCCATTCGGACGACATGACCCAGCCAGCGTAGCCGCTGTCGTTAAATTCGCTTAACTGCATATGTCAAAGTCCCCGTATATCCCATACAGTTCAACGCGGACAGGACCATAAATCTTTTTTCTCGAAAACTCGTATCGTCGACTCATAATATGTTGTCGTCGTCCATGYCTCTGCACCATAGAACAGTGACTTATACAGTTTGGTTTTTGTTCGTCGAAAGAGGACTTTACTTCTCAGGTGCTTAATCAGTCCGAAGTACCACCTGTTGGCAAGAGCTATTCTGCGTTGGATTTCGAGGCTGACATTGTTGTTGCTGTTAAAACTGGTTCCAAGATAGACGAAATTATCTACGACCTCGAAGTTAGGACTGTCAACAGTGCTCTAAAAGCTATTTTGGGCACCTACAGTTTCAAAAGATTTCTGTGTTTACTTTTATGAAAAGTATTAGTGTTGCCACATTTATGTCGTGAAAAAATCATGAACAAATTTTCTGTTTATCATCTTTTTTATAATTTCATTGAAGCGCGACCGAAGACCGCCAGTCAATGCCAAAAATAAAAATTATACGTGAAATAATATATAACTTACCTCTATTAATAAATAATATATGATGTATAATCTATATGAATGAAGCAAAATATTACATAGAAAAAATTTTTCATTATTTTTCACAACCCAATGTGTCAACATTGGTATTTGTCATGAATGCTAACACACAGATTAAGAATATTTATAACTGTAGTATAATAATAGAATAAATAAAATTATATAAAAAATGTATAGTTTTCGAGGTATTTCTATTTTAGGTTGAAATTTATAAAGTTTTATGTAGCAATTTTTCGATTTAGTTAATTTTATCATGCTTTTAATATTCTTACCATACGCTAAAACTTCACTACATTGTTTCTACATATTTAATTTATATCAATTATTTTAATATTTACTTTACATAAGCATTTTACTTTTACAAAATTTTATAGGGTTAACAGATGGGTCTAGCGAAAAATCAGTACGTCTCCATCAAAAAAGCAAAAAAAAAAAAGGGTACAGATAGATCACAAATGCCAGCGTCTCAAATAGATAGAATTTAATTACCTTCCAGCATCGTACAATTTACATTTTTTTTTTCATATTTTTTGGCACTGCCGATTGCTTTTAGCATATCAACATTTTCAGTTTTCAGTATATACTTATGGAAATCGTTGCATGACATATTCTTATAATTATATTTAGTGACAATCATGTAATGTTGCGAACATTTTTAATAAGGAGACGATTGTGTTCATTACCCCATTGGATATTGATGAGAGAGAAAATTCTTTCACAATTAGCATTATGTCCGGGTATAGAAAAAAAGGACTGCGCAATTTTAAAAATTTCAGAAAAGGAATCAATGTTTGAATTCGCTTTAAAAAATGCACAAATCTGGTCATTTGAAGTTTGTGAAAAAAATTGTATAGAATCCTCATCATTCTCTTTTTTCTTTTCTATAAAATTGTTMAAATTCAYCAATTGATCAATTATCTTCTMTTCATGGATATGAACATTTTATAACTCAAGAAACTGCAAAGTTGTGCAAACCTTCTTCATAGCGAACTTCTTTTTATGTGCGATCAAATTTTAACCATTGGAAAACTTTTAATTCGGATAAAGATGAAGTCCTTTTCAACAAGTATTCAAGAGCTTCCTGATAAACACTGACGGTTATTTCATGGAAATCAAGGTATTCCATTATTTTCCTTCTGATTTCAAAGTGTCAAGATTTGAAAGTAGAGTAATACTATGATCGTACCGACAACGAAAACATGTTTTCGTGGGAAAAACTGGTTTTCGCACGAAAACTKGTGTTTTCGTCCATGTAAAATCTGTCAAACGAAAACACAGTTTTCGCTGAAAACTACTTGAAAACTTACATTCCTCATTATAATTAGTTCTTGCTCTAGTTTAATCTATGTTATTGGAAGACATGTTTTCCGGCCCTAAATTGTCACTTGATATTTGTTTACATTCCACATACAGCTGTCTCTTGATGTTCTCATATTAGGGGGATTCTCTTGCTCTTGCAAAAACGTGCACCATGCAGAAATTTCAGAATTTTGACTTTGGTGCAACGGCACAACAAAAAAACACACGCAGAAAATTAACTGCAAAGCTGTAAAATATGTCAGACCAAAACCAGACCATGTTTATTTTCGTGCCGTCATATATCACTAGATTCTGCAATAGTTGTTCTCTTGGCCTTGCATATTTCGGTATAGGATTTTTGCATTTTGTGTCATSGTGCAATAGTTGTCAGTGAAAACCCATCGAAAACACACATCATCGGTCCGAACGACTTAGATTCCAATTTTGAAAACACATTTGTATGTTGTGGAATCTAAGTCGTTCGGACCGATAATGTGTGTTTTCGATGAGTTTTCACTGACAACTATCAAAAGCGGTATTCTCTTGCTCTTGCAAGATTGCACGATGACACAAAATGCAAAAATCCTATACCGAAATATGCAAGGCCAAGAGAACACCCATTGCAGAATTTTCAATGTCGGTCCGAACATAGTATAAGAGGCAAAAACTTGTGCTTGAGCAACGGGTTCAAYGATTGAATTAATTTCAAGAACACTGTTGCCTACGCTGATGCGTATTTTAGATTGAAAAATGAACATAAATGAGTGGTCAAACAAAAGGTAGCTTTCAGCCAAATCATCAGAAAAGAAATTTTCCATAAATTTTGGAGGTTTTTCGATTGATAAACGATTGATAAGTTAGTAGATAAGTAAGCTTTTAATACAGGGAACAGTTTGAGAATTCGTTCCACCGCAGGAAACCAACTAAGCCATCGAGTCTTGCTGTGTGAAAGTAAATGTTGATGTTGAACATCAACGAACTCACAGAATTCTTTCAATTCAGTTGTTTTGACAGTGTACATCGAGAAAGGYTTGAATAGTTTAAAAACGAGGGCATCAATATCTAATCCATGCTGGACGCAATTATGAAGAATATGAACATGGCACCCAACACCAATGACACGAGAATTTACTTTTTCTTTGAGTAGGGCCAATACATTGTTAGACCCCTTGCGATTCAAGCCCCCAAAAATTGATTGGAGCGTTATCTGCTACAAAAGTTGTCAAATTTGTGCCTCGAGAACGCTTTCAATCAAATTTGTTAAAAAGATTACAAATTTGATTGCCTTCTCGTTATTTGTTTCTTGTAAATGCAGAAATTTCACTTGACCACCCACATTTTCAAAATCAAAGTATTTAGTAAAAATGGTGAAGAGTTTATGATGACCATGATTAGAAGCATCTGTGCTCAAACTTATGAACTGAATTCCTTCTAACGAGGAGCCAAAACACAATTAATTATGGCCTCAGTTTTTGTTCTCGCATAAGACAATTGTTTGGCTATTTCAGAATCTACGAATAACGTCCGAAAAAGAGGTGCAGTACAATCCATTACATTATATTTAACTAGAGTAGTGTTTTACAGTGCGGAATGCCAGAGTTCCTTCGGCAGCGCAGACTTTAAGTGCCGTTGGAGATGATTTTGTGACCATGAAAGTATCCAAGGATTGCGATGCTGAAGAGGTTCTTACGTTTTTTTTTTTTTGTGTTTCTTTGAGTTGACGTATTCTCTTAAATCATAAATTCCTAAAACAATTGAAGGATTCCAACTATCAGCTGGCAAATTTCAGTAAAACGTGCATTTAATCAAATTTGCATTTGCATTCCATCAAACGTGCTTTCAATCAACTACAATACAAGCGAGAAGAAGATCTAATAAACTTTTAGACACATTCAAGAATTTATATACATCAACAATACTTTTTTCATGTCATACTGTATACTGCATGACAAACAAGTATTATTGATCTTAGAGAAGAAATTAGAAAGGGCTCAAGAACAAACTTCATACTTCACTTCTTGCTCGGGTTTGCACTGTAAGTAAGGGAATTGTTTTTGCAAATTGCCATTGATAACTGCAAGTACTCCAAAGATTATAAGTAAAATTAATTTAATCTTCGAAATAATTTCATTTCACATCACATTWATAACCTCACAAGTCTTGGTCTGTACACTTACCGATAACTTGCGAACGTCAACGAAATTCAAAAGTTTGAAAAGTGGAGCTTGCAATATAATTACATTCACATCCGTTTTCGTTCGACAAGCATGTAATTTAAACCAAAACACCATTGATTTGAAAGAATTATAAACGTTGTTGACAATGGTGGYGGCTATGAATAACAGCATCGAAAGTCTCGATAACGATTGATATATCTTGCCTTTTTTCGTTCGGTGCATTTATCGAATGTGCGGGTGTGTGTATCYAATAAAATTGGATAAATTTGCGCAAAAAGACGTTTGGGCCGAAAATCAGTACACTTCACTGAAAAATCACTATATCAGTACGGGGGTCTAAAAACCAGTACGCGTACTGATAAAATCAGTACATCTGGTAACATTACAATTTTGGTTATACTACTGTGATCAAATTGAAAGGTGAATTTTTAATTTATAATTCGCGTGTTTTTCGGATCGGTAAT